TCTTCCGGCGAATATTAATATCGAATTCAACTGCGATGAAAATCGAATAAGCAGAACATTAAAGAATAAGAAACAAAATCGAATTCAACTGCGATGAAAATCGAATAAGCAGAACATTAAAGAATAAGAAACAAAATCGAATTCAAGTGCGATGAAAATCGCTATGAAAAGCAAGCGGCAGAAGAGTAAAATCATGAAAAGCAGAGATTGGTTAACCGAGTAAATTGCTAAAGTCCAAATGAAGACGGTGATGGCGAAAACCACCACGACAAGCAGAACAGCCGTGCATGCCCTGTTAGAGTTGGGTTCGTTCTTCACGATAATCATAATTGGTTGATGTCACGATAATCAACAATGGCAGAAAAAAAAACACAACTCGACAGCACCACACTGCAAACCCATTCTTGAACCACAATCCTGTCTCACGCTCGAGCTCTTTACTCATAAAGGCGTGATCGACCAAACCAAGCGCGAGATATTTGTCATGAACATGATCAAACACGAGCACGTTGTCCACCTCATTAATAATGAAACGAACAGAGGTTCATTACTAAGAAATAGCAAATTTTTTACATGAAGTACTAAGGGCAGGCAAACAAATAGATATTGTATGAGCAATATATAGACATGCTAAAATCATGATTGGTTTATGTCACTTTCTCTCATGGCTGACTAATGCCTGCCCTGATTCATTGATTAGTGAATTACTATGGTGTCTATGTCCCATAGAAGTTTTTATCTTACATCAGAAGTGCGATGTGGGAAGGAAAGACAGTGTACCCAAAGAGCCAAGAGGATGTGCAAGTATTTAATTAATCAACGTGAATGTCTTCAAAAAATATGCTCCCTGCTTGATGATATATATGTCTAATAAAGGCTTATGCTCTCTATTCGTCTTCAACAATGGTAGGCAAAAACACAACTCAACAGCACCACACTGCATTCGCAACCACACTGCAAACCCATTCTTGAACCACAATCTTGTCTCACGCTCGAGCTCTTTACTCATAAAGGCATGATCGACCAAACCAAGCGCGAGATATCTGTCATGAACATGATCAAACACGAGCACGTTGTCCACCTCGCTACCAAGACCAAGATCTACTCATAACTGGCTTTTGGCTCAACTTAATAGACATGCATTTGCAATAAAAATACAGACTTGAGATAGATAATGAAAATTGTCAAAACAAGAAAAGCGACAGCTATAAATCACTAATCACAATATTCGTAGCCGTTGATGAATCTAGGTACTAACTACTAACATGGTAATCACTGTACTATTGTTCAAGTTCGTAATACAGGCGTGAACCAACCGATACACGACCCTTGTGCTTGTAAGCTTGAAATGTCAAAATAAGTTCTTTCCATGGTGCCGTCTTCCATGTTGAAGCTGCCTTGTTTGTGGACGACGAATAATTTGTCCACGTCAAATTCACCATCTTTTTCTTCTTCTTCTTCTTCTTCTTCTTCTTCTTCTTCTTCTTCTTCTTCTTCTTCTTCTNTGAATGTAGTTAGGCACTCGAATGCGAATGTCATTAGGCACTTGAATCTTTTCCACTGAAGTGGAGTCCGTAGCTCGCAAGAATATACAAACATCTCCCGTACGATCCACCTTTTCCAAACTATCGTCCTTCAACCTCAGCCGACGAACCTCAAATCCTCTCGTCTCTGGGCACATGTATGCGTCTCTGGGCACATGTAGGCGCTCGGCGGCCGGCACACGGCCCGAAGCTTCTCGTTCTGAAAGAGTATGTCCGCATAGTGCTCGTCGGTAGGGCCCGAGAGCACGGTCCAGCACTGGTCATCCGGCGAGCACAACGCCAGCCTGTCACGAAAGCCGGTCAGTGAGAAAAACACGGCGACCACAGGACCCACGGGCGCCACCTGGGCGAGGCGGGTGTCGTGGTCCAACAAGGGGAGGGTGGAAGGGGAAGGAAGAGACAGGGTGGCGCCAGAAAGTGGGTCCCACAGGACCATCTCGGGTGGGTCCCAGCAGGCAAGGAGGAACCACCCCGCGCCGGAGCCGCGACAGGACCACCGGCGGCCGCCAGAGAGGAGGGAGCAGGGCAGATCAGGGAAGTATATCCTGTTCTCGTACGGGCAGCTGAGGCTCAAGTAGGTGGAGATGGGCTCAGGGTCGGGCAGGATGAGCCAGGGGAGCTCGGGAAGGGTGGGGAACTCGGACCGGGTGAGAGTGTCCCTCCAAACTTGCACACCAGCCTCAACCGGATCCGGTCGCCAGTGCATAGCTTGCTAAATATGCGACGAATTGCGTCATCCGGGAGCTCGCTCAGGTTCAACGGACAAGAAGAAGAATGTTGTGGGAAATCTGATGGGACAAGGAAAATACGGTGCATCAAACGATGCCAAAAGGACTAGAAGGAGGGGATTATCATGATTATTATTTGAATTTTGTAATGAAATTGATGAATGACAATCCGCAGCCGATATAAGAACATATATAGATTTTGGCAATCCTAATCCAAATATTTTAGAAATACTAATCCAGATATGTTTAGGAATGCAAACAATACTAATTGACTAATGGCAAACAGAGTCTGTAATTAGGTTAATGGTGAAATAATCATATTTGAGAATTAATTGACATTAAAAATATATCATTTTAAATAAAAAGTAATATAAGAAAAAAAAAGTCAAATTTATTTTTTATGAAAAAATTTACGACGGATGAACTTATTTTAGACTGTCGAACGGAAATAATAGCATGCTGCCAAGGAACGCCACGTCATCACCTTCCCTTCTAAACTACTGCACAAATAATGAAAACACCTCCCAAGAAAAATCTTTTTTTGCCTTCTCTCTACCTTTAAAGTTCACTTCCATTCCATTCCATTCCATCACACACCGCTTATTCTCATATGGCCACAGCCCTCTCCGTCCGGCCCAGCCGCGCAGTAGCCGGTTCAGACCGGCCCCGACCCACAATTTTCCGCCGACCGGCCTCGGAATCGATCGCCAAGGCGCTCAAATCGGGCCGCCGGCGACCGTGGGGTTTACTGTTCACCCACCGCCTGCCCGCCGCGCCGCCCCGAGCTGGCTCGCGTGCCGACGACTCCGTGCCGTACGAGATGACGGTGGAGAATGCTCTGAAAGTACTGGGCGTGTCGGAGGGCGCGTCCTTCGATGATATTCTCCGAGCTAAGAATACAGCCATCGCCGCTTGTAAAGATGACCAGCAAGCGATTTCTCGGGTCCATCCTTTTATTAATGACTTTTATTCATGTAATTGAGAATTTCATGATTTGTGGGGAGGATTGTTTGGAATATTGATGCTTATAGAACTGCCCTTTTTTTTATGTTTCCCTTTTGGCAGATTGATGCAACGAAATGTTTAATTTGCAGTTCTATATTTTTATAAATTTTGTGATTTGATGAGTTCGGCTGAATCACATGCTTTTTTCTGATGATTTGATTGAAATTTGTGATCTTTGAAGGTAAACAGCATATTTATCTCGTGATATAGCTTTGGATTACTCCTTTGAACATCATCACTCTGCTTATTGGCATGGCCAAACAAAAGCTTTAATCTTTCCTTATATATATTCATGATGCCTCTTGTTCAGCAGCTGCTTGTTTATCAATTGTTTTGTAGAACTAACAAGTAACATCTAGTATGTTCGAATCAAGATGGCTTATCACCCTATTAGCTGCTGTTTTATGCTTTCATTTTCCTTGGTAAAAATTATTTCTACCCAAGAAATTGCTATAGTGCTTGGAAGAGTTATATATAAGTCTAAGTGTCATGAGATATACCGAATGTTTTTTTGAGTAGTCCCGTCTGTGTTTTCTCGATTTTTCTTCTTTTTTATTTATCTTCTCTTATTCTTTTTATCCCAAACTTCCTCTCAAACATGGCTTTTCCTTTGCAGGTAGAAGCTGCATATGATATGCTCCTAATGCAGAGCTTATCCCAACGTAGGTCGGGGAAAGTCGTGAATAGTGGCATACGGTATGCTGATGTTACACCTGTAAATCCTCCAAAAATGGGCACAATGCCCAAATGGCTCAAGAACTCACCTGTCTTGGTTGAGGCACCATCCACTAGCGAGATAGGAGTGCATGTTGGGGTTTATGGGGCTCTAATGGTGCTAACATATGTAAATGGAGCTTCATCGTTTTCTGCAGTATCTTATACTGGAGCTGATGTACCTGGGCTCATTTTAGCCACTGGCTTTGGGGCATCTTTATACTTGATGACCAAGAAAAACGTCAATTTAGGTAAGAAATGGAGCATTTTCCCTTCTTTAGCTTAGGACATTTGGTACAGTAGTCTTGGATATTATGACTTTTCGATGCGTTTTTTTAACTTTATTTAGGAAAATTCCTGCAAATTTTGCTTGAAAGAGATTGTCTTAAAAGTGAAGACTTGGCTGCCCTTGCCTGATGTATAAACATGGATGATATTCATTGAGCTTAATACACGCTCATGCTGAACTATTGTATTTGAATATGATACGTAGGATTTGGAAGGTGATAGTATATGTAAATGAAGAATAATTTGATAATTTTGGAGGTGAAGTTGTATAAGAGATGAAGAGTTAGATTGCAAAAGAATAACAATAATTCAATCACGTTTGTTTCAATTTACTTGCCAAGAAATTACATACCTCGAAGGTTCATGAGATCTTGAGGAATCGAATTTTGTAGTTTCTACTGTTCGCAAAAAAAATAAATAAATAAAATAAAAATAAAAATGTAATAAAGCTGAACTTTACGGTGGTTCTTGTTATTCACAATATAAATCTCGAACAATCACGTATTTGGTTCCGTGAGTGGCAGAATGACCGGAGTCCTCCAGGACTGCTCGATTCCGACAGTCTCAGTGTGCAGATTATGAGTTCAGTAGAATGTACAAATTCTTTGTCTGAAATTTTCTCTTTTGATAAGTACCGACATGACACTTACCATTTTGGGCACTACACATATTAACAACTGACACCTGCACTTGGAAATTCCATTCAGAAAACATTTAAAAGTTCTTTTTCTGCTTAATAAAAGTCTAAGTTAGCCTTGGCCCAGCTTCTCGGTTCATGCATGAAGGGCAACAATCACTTAAATTAAACTATTAGTTCTAAGGATTAGTTTTCACTTATGCAGGGAAGGCAACTGTGATAACAATTGGAGGGCTCGTGGCTGGTGCAGTGGTTGGCTCAGCAGTGGAAAACTGGCTCCAGGTTGATATTGTCCCCTTTATGGGAGTACACTCTCCGGCTACTGTTGTGAGCGAATTTATACTCTTCTCGCAATTATTGATCTCCTTGTACTTGAGATAGAATTAAAGCTCAGTTGCTGTGTATAACCCTAACCCTTGGAGGGTCATAATCTATGTTAGTTGACCAAAAAAAGCTTTATCTAGGATTTGTATTTGAATATTACACTTGTATAAATTGAATGTTCAGAACTTATGTCAGTAAATACATTTCTCTCGTTATATATTGTCTGGTGTGGTTGTTTTTAAACATTTCTTTCATTGTTTTTGTAAGGTGTGTGAACTTCTTTTGGAGCAATAATTTAGCTACACTTCTGCAAAAAAATACATGGCAAATGCTGAAGATATGTACTAAAAGTTTGGAAGAAATCACAAACAATGCCGCAGCGAGTTGCTTTGACACAATAATCTAACACACAAAACTAGGAATCAAGAAAACAATAGAAAATCA